GTTACTTTAATATTATAAAATAAATGACATATACGAAACAGTTACTTTAATATTATAAGATAAATGATTACAAAACAGTTATTTTAACATTATAAAATAAATGACAAATACAAAACAGTTACTTTAATATTATAATATAAATGAGATATCAAAACTGTTATTTTAATATTATAAAATAAATGACATATACAAAACAGTTACTTTAACATTGTAAAATAAATTATACATAAAAACAGTTACTTTAATATTATAAAATAAATTATATATATGAAATAGTTACTTTAATATTATAAAATAAATTATATATACGAAATAGTTACTTTAATATTATTTAAATTAAATAAATAATTAAAATATGGCATATTTTCTAGAATGTTTAATTCTTTAAGGGAATATTTATTATTATTATTTTTTATTTTATGAGTCAGGCGCAATTACAAAACTAAATAAATTTAAGGAGTTTTATTTAACCTCCAATACTTGAGAAGAATTTGTCCATTCTCAGATTCAAGTAAATAAGTTAAAATATAAATAATTAAACACCAAATTTGATTTAATTATTAAATATGGGTCTAGGTTATATTAAATAAAATACACGAGGTGTTAATTATGACTTTCAAATTTATGTTCATTAATTATGATCGCCACATTAAGAATTCATTAATTTAGATTGCTTTTGAACGAAGAAACATTCAGAATTTCTGGCCCTTCCATTGATTTTCATTTATTCTTCATTTCAATGATGTAAAATATTTGATGATAATTTAACAAATTGTGCAAGTTCAACAAAGTCCCAATCGTAGAATAGTAGGGTAAAGTTAAAAAAATGATGGAATTTGACTTTGTATACTTTGGATCTACTTTATTTAAAATAAAATATTTTTATTATTTAAAAAAAAATTTTTTTTTTCTTTTTACTGATAACATGTTATCTACCAACATTTAAGAATTAAAGTTTCTTCAAATTTCCTAATTTTCTTTACAACAAGCACGTGAATGACATTCAGTATAAAGAAAAAGATGAAAGAATTACAGAAAACATAAATAAAACAAAATGGCAACAGGTTATAATAATACAAAGTCACCTTATTCATTGATCCAAAAGATCTTCTATGTTCGCCATATTAGGTTATTACGAAATCTCTACACATGGATCAAGTGAGCTTTAATCATATGTTGGCCTTAAATACCAATACGATAGAGATGCTCTCATACATAGTCATGATCTGACATAATTAAATGTCAAGTAGTAGTCACAGTACAAGGTTTGGAGAAAGTAGGAGATAAGGCTACTAATTGGATGCTGTGTTCTATCATGTAAAGCATTAATATCAGTTGGAAACTCACCAATACCTCCACGGTTTATTCGAACAGAACCTTCCTTCCAAATACCCTACTCTCATGTAACTATACATCTGCTTGATTGAATAGTATTGGTCTAAGTTGTTAGGATTGCAAACTCTTCTGAATAGTTTTTTGTTTTGGTTTGTCACTCTACGGTCATTCTGAATAAGAAAATTGTTTAGTTCGAAGTGAGTGAAGAAACATGCAGAAATTCAGTTCATTTCATATATTTTTATTTATTCTTCGTTTCAATGTTGTATACTATTAGCTCATAATTTAATAAACTGCCCAAGCTTCAAATTCCATTTTTTTATGATATGGCAAATTTAAAAAAATGATAGAATTTGACTTTGTATACTTTGGATACAATTTTTTTTAAATTAAATATTTTTATTATTTTAAAAATTACTAATTGGATGCTGTTCTACTATGTAATGCATTTCTATCACATGGAAACTTACCAATACCACCACGGTTTATTCGAACACAACCTTCCTTCCAAATACCCTACTCTCATGCAACTATATTTTTCTTTAGAAATCTGCATGATGACTCATTGTATAATAATAGTTTAAGTTGTTTGGAGTGAAAATTCTTCTGAATATTTTTTTGTTTTAGTTTGTCGCACTACGGTCATTCTTCTGAATAAGAAAATTGTTTGGTTCTTACTGAAATAAAGAAATTCTCAGTAATCTATTGTTTATCCAGGAATCCAGGTTAACATCTAAAGAAATTACAAATAATGAAGAGTTAGAGTTGATTTAATAGGATACTTTACTGATTAATTTTAGTAAAACATCCTATTAAATCAACTCAAAGCTGTGAGTCTGGACAGCTTATTGTGAATCGAACAGCAAATCATTTTCTCAAAATTAGGGGTTCAAGCCAATAACGCTTTAAATAAAATTTAAATGTTGTAAACTTCTTTTTTGGTAGCTTCTATACATTTTTTTTGTATAAATGTGAGTAGACATGAAAAATAGCTTTTTATACACGCTTTTTGGCATGCCAATTAAATGTATAAAGAGTTACCTGAAATGAACCCTCAAATGCACGGCGGCCACCTTAAATATTTTTACGGCCCGTGAGATTTATCACACTTTTAGAAAGTATATTTATTTTATAATGGCCAAAGTAATGAAAACCAGTGTATTAAAACAATAAATTATTTGTGCATCCATATATTCAAAAATTAACAGTAGAAATTATGAGAAAAAATAACTTTGATTCTAAAATGAAATTCTTCCGAATATGTGACATATTTCCTGTTTTATTTATGAGTTTACAGTTATGAGTTCGCAAAATGATAACTATATTCTGCGAACTTATGATGAGTCGAGAAACAAATATCACTCTAGTAATATAAATATTTTTTAAAGATTTCATTTAAATTTATATATTTTTTATATTTCATTTTTAATGTTATATACTTCTTTACTGTGTGCATTTTGTATCATTATTATTATACTATCTACGGTTACATACCTATATATTATTTATGTTTATATTATCTATGTAAACACAGTAATAATAATTCATTATGTTTCAATTTTGAACTTCAAAAAATATATCTAGTGGTTCTAAATCTAATAGGGGGATAGATAATTTTATATGCAGCCCTCGGAGTTAAGATGCATTTCCAAAGTGGCCCGCAAGATCATTCGGGTTGGCCACCCCTGCTTAAATGAAATATTATTTATAATCAGGCATACAAGTATAATATCAACATTTTAAAAAATACGATCAGCAACAACATTCAATTTACTTCATCTTTAAATGACATTATATAACTATCTGTTGTTGTTGTTTCTTATCCTACTTGGCTGGCCAAGCCCACGAGCCCATATGGACTCATGATTGAAGGGGAAGGAAGCAGCTTCTGTTGTGATGGAGCACCCGTAGGTAGAAGCCTGACTTTTGCTCCGTGACGCTCTTACAGTCATAGGAGACCGGGACCTACGGCTTAAAGTGGATTCCGAACCACTACAAACATCCATGGCACCGCCGGGATTCGAACCCGAAACCTGTGGCACCGAGCGCCAGAGCGCTAGACACTCGGCCATTCAGGTCCCAAATTTGCCAACGGCACGCAGTGTTCCCAGGTGGTCACCCACCCAAGTACTGACCGCGCCCAATGATGCTTAACTTCGGTGATCTAACGAGAACCGGTATATTCAGCATGGTACGGCCGTTGGCATATATGACTATCTAGCATTAGCTTACTTAATTTATGAGATTTGAGACCAATTTAAAAAAATTAAAGACTTGTAAAATCCTGTAAAATATGAACATTCATAAGATGTAAAATATAAAAATCAAAGTAGCTCAAAAAAATATACAGAAACCCTGAAAATTCGTAAGAGCTCAACACATTCGTAAATATTTAGGGAATTTGATAAAATGTTTCACAAAATTGATAGCATGAAATATGTGTTACTTAACATTAGAGAAATTCAATAAATGAAAATTTTTTTGCATGTATTTTATATTTGAAAATAATATACACGTTTAGATAAAAAGTTGAACATTTAATTATTTTTATAGTAGATATTAAATATAAAAATAGTTAGGCAGAATATGTATAAATACTATGATGATTTAAAACAAATTTTTCTTATGTAAAATTAAGATTTAAAAAAATAAAAACAGCAATATTTTTTTATCCTTTCTCTGCCATAAACTTTATTTGGAACAAGTATTCTATAAATTATATGTATACGAATTTCAGGATTTTTTTTTTTTTTTTTATTGATTGGAATTTTTTTCTAAGCTTTTAATGTTGAAGACCTTTTGGAAACACTTCGCATTTTGAAAAATAGCCTCATATATAATTTTTTCTTTAAAAACGTTTTTGAAAAAATGGTGTTTTGAAAAAGAAACGGGATAGTTCGCGAAAAGCCAGTAATTTATAAATTTTTATATATTCAAATTGTAAAATAGCTGGATTTCAAAAAGACGGAAGAAAAGGAAAAATCAAATAAATGTAATGCTATGCTTGAAAAATTGATTAATATTTCAAGCGTATAAATCTTTCAAATAGCAAACGACAAAACTAGAGAATGTTTACGTTTTAGCATTTCTTTTCATGTGTAAACATAATTTTGTATATTGAAGACAACGTTTTTATAAATTTATCCAATACATTTTTTGGTATTCAGGGTATATCAGTATACATTAACATAAGCTGTCTTATTTGTAAATACAATAATATGAATTGACAAAGTGATTTGAAAAGCTATTCATGATAAATTATTCAGAAACCTTCGAATGCTAGAACATTTAATATGTTTGTTGTTGTTTTTGTTGTTTCTTATCCCACTTGGCTGGCCAAGCCCACGAGCCCATACGTACTCATGATTGAAGGGGAAGGAAGCAGCTTCTGTTGTGATGGAGCACCCGTAGGTAGAAGCCTGACTTTTGCTCCGTGACGCTCTTACAGTCATAGAAGACCGGGACCTACGGCTTAAAGTGGATTCCGAACCACTACAAACATCCATGGCACCCTGCCGGCGCCATTCGAACCCGAAACCTGTGGCACCGAGCGCTAGACACTCGGCCATTCAGGTCCCAAATTTGCCAACGGCAATTAAAGACGAAAGATAGCATAAAGTTTATAATATATAACATTAATAGTTTATAGTTAGCAGTTTATGCTCCCCAAATGGTCACCCACAATATTTTAATTTAAAATTCCAACTACTGACCGCGCCCAATGATGCTTAACTTCGGTGATCTAACGAGAACCGGTATATTCAGCATGGTACGGCCGTTGGCTACATTTAATATGGTAACACAATATGTAGAATTGTACTATTTAAAAAAAGATATTTAGTGATTTTTTTAAATTGTTGAATCGAATAGATCGAATTCTTTTATATTAATATAATTTTCAATAAAATTACTTTTGAAACAATACTAGCATATCATATGTTCATAAATATGTATCTTACATAGAAATTCCCTTCAAAAGCTAATTTGTAAATGAAAATTTTATTTCAAAATAAATTGACTATAAACTTTGCTTTACATCTTTAATACACGTGAGGCATCTATAAAGTAAGTTTAGTTATGTATTAGATAAACAAAAAAATAAGTTGTTTATTTAGTTACAAACTAATAAATATGTTTTGTTTTAAGTGATATATAAACTTTTTATATTCATTTTTCTTCCTTTTAAAATTAGAAGCAATGTTTTGTTTTTAATATTTGTTATATTTAATGATTCTATTAATTTTTGTTCTTTATAAATAAGAGCTGTTTAAAAGAAGTTTTGAGATTTATAATTCTGATAACTGCATTTAGTTGCTTAATTTTATGTTGAATTTAATTTATCCCAATTTAAGTCATGTAATTTATAGCTGTAAAAAAAAAAGTGTAGACAACATTAACTTATTAACCTCTTCATGGACAGTTTATTTACAGTGGGAAAACAACTAATTTTTTTATTACTATTTAATTTATTTTATAATGCTAGGAATTCAAAAAAGAATAAAATAGGGAGAACTATAAAAATGCTCCAAAACTCATTTGTGGCCGTTGAGAGTTAATAATAAATTATAAGTGAAATGATTTAATACCTTCTGGGTATTAATTATTCATTATTATTTCGAGCATTAATTATTAAAACTAAATATATTTAGTATATTTGGTAGTATTTTCATCAAAAATTTTTCAAATAATTCAATAACATTAACAGTCTAAATACCGCTTTACGCTATTTCCATATATCTAACTAAACACTGTAAATACCGTTATCAGTGCAGACAAACTATAAGATTTGTGTTTTTATAGATAGAATCTGTAAGAAATGATTTATTATCAAATTTTGCTTATTTTTATTAATTACAGTAATTATAATTATAAAAAAAATAAATATCAATATGAACCGATTTCAATATAAACGAATGAAAACATTTTTTAGTATAAAAGTTAGCTATAAAATGATGCTAAAACGCAGCGTAAGTGGAGAACGATTTCTTTTAAAGCAATGTTTATGTAAATGCGAATTACATTTTTTTACATGCATCGTATATTTATTTCAGTATAAAAGCTAAGAAATTTTAGAACTTTTACTAAAAAATTACGAGATCTGTTATATCTGCCGTTAGTCAAGAGCAAGCGATTATTCGCTAAATATAGCACATCCTTATTTCTTAAATCAATGAAAAAATAAAATACTCATTTTATGAAAATGAGTTGTTTTATTTTCATAATTATTTACACTGAAGTGACAAAAGTCATGGGATACCTCTTAATATCGTGTCGGCCCTCCTTTCGCCCGGCGAAGTACAGCAACTCGACGTGGCATGGACTCAACAAGTCGTTGGAAGTCTTCTGCAGGAATATTGAGCCATGCTGCCTCGATAGACGGCCATAATTGTGAAAGCGTTGATGGTGCATTATTTTGGGCACGAACAGACCTCTCGATGATGTCCCATAAATGCTCGATGGGATTCATGTCGGGCGATCTAGGTGGCCAGATCATTCGTTGGAATTGTCCAGAATGTTATTCAAACCAATCGCGAACAGTTGTGGCCCGGTGACATGGCGCATTGTCATCCATAAAAATCCCATCGTTGTTTGGGTACATGAAGTCCATGAATGGCTGCAAGTGATATCCAAGTAGCTGAACATAAGCATTTCCAGTCAATGTTTGGTCCAGTCGCACCAGAAATGCCATGAAAAAACAGCCCAAACCATTACGGAGCCACTACCAGCTTGAACAGTGCCTAGCTGACAGTTTGGGTCCATGGTGGGATGTTATGCCTGAAATTTCATACTCTCGGCACACTCTTGACACAGTGGATCTGGGAATGTTGAATTCCCTAACGATTTCCGAAATGGCATGACCCATGCGTCTAGCTCCAACTAACATTCCGCGTTCAAAGTCTGTTAATTCCCGTCGTGCGGTCATCATCACGTCAAAACCTCTTCACATGAATAACTTGAACAGAAATGAAAGCTCTGCGAAAGCACTGCGCATTTATACCTGTTCTACGCGATGCTACTGTCATCTGAAAATTTGCATATTGCTATTCCATGACTTTTGTCACTTCAGTGTATATTGCTGGTTCATTGCCTAGTCGGCAAAACGAAAAATTTTATGTTGGCTAAATTTTTGTCTGCCTAACAGAATGTACTAAACGTACATCAGTAATCTAATAATCTAATGCCGTAAATAATTATCACATAAAAATACAATTGTAAGAGGAAAATTGAAGACAAATAAAAGTTCAGACAATAAAACAGCGCAGAAAATAAGACTAGCATAGATATCTGACATCATATACAAGACAACAGCCGAATTAAAGAAATGTGCTAGCTTCAGATAGGATTATTAGTTATAACTATTGTCGTTGGCGTTTTACTTAACAGCAGCGATTTGATTGGAAAATATTCCACCCGTTTTACCTGCTTGGCGAAAATTTCGTACTCATGGCGACATATTTGAATGTGACAAATTTTTTTTTTCATTTCGGCTTATATAAGGATTTTGAATTTTGAGTAAATTCCAAAATCTAAATAAGATAAATTCCAAATGAGAAAATGCACTCTATTCTTATACACTGAATCATTTATATTCGACAGGTTAACGGAAAATTACCTAATGTTTCTTGGAAATCCAATAATTGAATACCGTAAATAATTAGTACATAAAAAATATAAGATATGATCCTATAGAATACATTAAATATCGAATTTTACGAAATAATGAGAATCTAAATTGCTACATTAAAAAATAAAAACGAAATAAAAAATCCTTTACGTAAACTAATCATAGAGATAGTTTTAAAAGTATTCTAAGAAACTGGCATGCGCATTCTAAAGTAGAAGAAATTCAGCATAATATCTCATTTCAACACATTTCATCTGTAATATAATGACAGCCTTTTTCTCCTCAAATGGCAAGAAAGAATATTTCATCTTTTATCGGCATTGGCTGTGGCCATATTTGCGAACATTCTTCGCACATATATTTGCAATATAGTTGAGAAGTTTTCCAGTGCAGAAAGTGCTGAATAAACCCCTTTCTGATTCTCGTGGAAACGTCAAAGTGTAACTGGGAAATCAATAGCAACGAATGCGAATTTAATCCGCAGATACTTAGCTTGCAATATCCCCCACAGCTGCCTGAATAAATCTTTTAGGAATTTCCAGGGCTGTTTGAAATCCGAGCTATAAAGTTTGCACAAAGGTTTCTCGACATGCATTGCTGATTTTGAAATGTGTCAGTTTTCAATTATTGATTTATAAGTGAATTAAAAATGTAGGAAAATGAGCAACTAATGAAAATGATTTCTTTTCATGTTTAGAGTTTATCTTATTTAAAAAGTTAAATGAAATTTAATTTTTAAATTTAAATCACTCAATTAATAAAAAGAATATTTGAGAAGATATATTTGAAAGTGGTATAAGTGAAATTCATTGAAAATAAATATATTTCACCAAGAAAGAGATTTCTCAATTCGATAAAAAAAGCTGGGCAGGAAAAGAAAGAATCTATAATTCAGAGGAAATGACAACTTTATTTAAAAGCTACAGCTACAAAAAGGAATTAATCAATGAGACGTTTGGCCCATTTCTTGCACTTATGTAAGCTATTATCTTTCAGCTGTTTATATAAATGAGTACTTATTTCTTTTTTTTCCAGAGTTGAATTGTAGATGCCATCCTGTTGTATATCTTGCAGATGTCATCCTGCTATATTGTAGATGACATTCAGTAATGTGTAGATATAATCTTGCTTTAGTTTTCGCCAAAATCATTTTATTTGTTGAAATAGATCAGCGAGATTCTGGGAGAAACGAAAGCACTAGCTTATAAGACCATAAACTTCAACTATAGGGAGAAAATCTGGAGATTTTCTTGGTCAGCAAGAAAAAAAAAAAGTAGTAGAAATTATTTCTTTTGCAATTGGGAATTATTTTCTGAAGTTTAAGTCTGGGATGCGATAAAAAGGAAAAATAGCACAAAAGGGCGTAGAATATCGTCGACATTTCCTCATGATTTCCTCGCATCGTAAACTTTAACTCCTAATTGACCAAGTTGTCTTGGACATCCCAAAATATGCTTTTGTTGTTGTTGTTGGGTTATGTATTTTAATATGTTAAGACAATGTCTATATTATCCCATATAAGAAATAAAATACATTTCTAAATAGAAATTCTGATTAATTTTAAAATGCACAGGTATCATATATAATAAGTTTATTAAAGATTATTACTGTTTAGGATAATAAACCTACTAGATAAACTATATTAATCTATTCTACATTCATTACATAATGTTTTAAATAAATTATATTTAGAGCGAACACGAGCAAGTCAGCTTGTTATTAGCGAGTTTGATTCTTGATAGTAGAGAGTGTACAGACATTGTTCTTAAAAAATAGACTCAATAGAAATAACGGCACAGAAACTTCATACGAGCTTTACTAATCGTTGTAGAAACAATTTTCCGTCATCAAAATAATTTATCCATAATATAATTTGTTAATTTATGGATAGTAGTCTGCAACGATTTTGGAAGATTCATCTATCATGTAAAAGTTTTGTTTTTAAATAAAACTAAAATAATAAGAAATTATTGATTCGCATAATTGGGAAGAAAATATTTAAAAAAATCGTAAAATTCATAAGCAATTTTTCCCGCAAGTATACATACTATGCATAGCTGTATTGTAGACATCTTGAAAATACGACCTTTAAAATAATATATTCCCTTAAAATGGAATTTAACCTGTTTGATAACATGTTTCTGCATGTTCTTGG